AATGGCCGCAACACCCAAAACTAAAATAGCTAGCAAAAAAAAGTATGAGGCAAAGTTGATCAGATTGTAATTATCTACAAATTTTGTTGAGTTCATTTTGTCGAAAAAAAATAAATAAGAGAAAGGCCAATAGGGCCGAACGCACAAGGCTTTCGAGCAGGAGCGCCGGGTTTCAGAAAACCTCGTGGGTGCTGATGTTCATGCACCGGCATTTATGAGGAGGGGTGAACAGTGTGTCTAAGAAGGGAATGGTAATACATTTCAAACAACGTAGTTCACACCTTCCCATATTCATTTTCCAGCTGCGGGAACTAGTGTTGCTTGGTGCTTATGTAAGTTTTTTGCGGTGTCTGCTAAAATTGGAAAAAAAGGACGGCTATAAGGGTAAAGAGTAGAGTGTTTTCACAGCTATCAGAACCGTACCCACTTCTACCACGTAAAAGCCCCCCTCCAGCATAGCTATTATAGACCACCATTAATCTATTTTCAAAAGGCGCCGCCGATCTAGAGATTTTCCCACGGTATCGAAAAACTTCCTAGGCTCAAGTGCCCCTAGCTATCAGACTAGCAGATTCACAAGCAAAATATTCATTATTGCAATAAAATTAATGTACCTGTTTATGACCAATACCCACCTCACAGCTGTCAGAGCAATACCCACCTCCACTACGTCAAAAAGCTTCTACTCTGAAGAGGTACCTCTTTCCATATCCCTTCACTTTCTTGAAAACTAAAGAATATTTCAACTATTCCTGCATTTGTATTCGTCAATAGTGTTCTAAACTCCATGAGATTAATTTTATTGCAATAATAACATTTTGCTTTTGAATCTGGTGGACCACTTACGTAGTAGAGGTGGGTATTGGTCTGATAGCCGGGGGCACTTGAGCCTGGGAAGTTTTTCGATACCGTGGGCAAATCTCCAGATCGGCCGCGCTTTTAATCTGAAATTTTGGGGATTTGACCCGGACCAACCCCAAAATTGAAGAATTCGAATACAAATGGAAGAATTGGTTAAATATTCTTTAGTTTTCAAGAAAGTGAAGGGATATAATAAAGTGCCATCTCAGGGTAAGAGCCTTTTGAAAATAGATTAATGGAGGACTTTACGGAAGAGGGTTTACAGTGCAGGTGGGTAAAAAGTGCCTCCTCAGGGTAGGAGCTTCACGGAAGGGGGTACAGTGGAGGTGGGTGAAGTCCGCCTTACGAGTCTAGCACTACGACGTCTGAAGAGCAAGAGGACATAACGCCATTCATTTCGAGCTTTATGCTGCCTGTCATAGACGAGCGTGCAACGTTTTTGAATATTACTTTTTCCTTACAAAATGTAGGTGTATAATATAAATAAATATTAAGGTATTTCTTATTGGAAGTCAAATAGGCAATATTGCAATTTTTTTATCCGCATTGTTTCCATAGTGCTAGACTCGTAAGGCGAACTTTAGTGGTATGATAACTGTGCTGGCGGGGAGTTTTTACGTGGTAGAGGTGAGTATTGGTCTGATAGCTGTGAAAACACTCTACTGTAAAGTGTAGAAAACTCTCCTGCAGATATTCTTTTCCAAGCAGCATGTACCGAAAATTTTCGTTTTACGCTGTTTTTCATAAAAGATTTCTGATTTTCTTCATCGTCTTCTTCTTCTAAACAAAGTACCACCATGTTCTGATATCAACTGCCAGTACTGGATTTACTGTGCTGATTTTACTGTCATTTGCCGTTCCAATTTCAACAGGGTACTCTTGTGGTCATTCAGTACTGAATCGACTGAATCCAGTGTACCTACTGAATATAATATTGGAACGGCGTCCAGTAAATTCAGTACTGACAGAGTTAATATCGAAACATAACCGATATAAGGCTATGGTCCAAACGGACCATAGCCTTATATACAGATAAAACCAACAGAACCGACATCCGATGGCCGGTAACTATTTTGACATTTGGTTAACCAGATTTTAGGAACCCTAGGTACAAAATTAACCAGTTTTCCAGGAACTAGAGAGTTTTTATGTCTATGCTCGTGGGTGCTTCGCACCCACTGTTCAGGTCTCGTAGTCGGCGCCCCTGCTTTCGAGTGTGATTTTTTGGCTCAATACTCAGGACACAGGCTCCAATCAGCCTTGAAAAAATCAGCTTGCCCTCGCAAAATTTTTTGAAAAACCCATAAATTTCTTGGGCTAGTTGACTTTACATACCGATTAGGAAATTGACTTCGATACACATCGATCAAAATAGTATTTAATGAAAAACAGATTACCAATACTTTGTTTTCTAATAGTTTATTTCTTACATACTTCATTTTTTGAAGTTTTCAAAAGTTGTGGTCCATAATTTTACCAAAGTACATTATAAGTTTTGAGTAAAATTGGTCTTACTTTTAACTCTACGTCACCAACGTTGGATAAACGTAAATCGCTTTAATCTGTTTACGACAGCGTCCCTTGCAGAGAAGGGCAATCTTGTTGGTAATTAAAGGCGAAAGGTCAAAATTAGGAAGGACGATGTGTTTTCGTTGGTGGGCTGCTCATTTAAACAATTTCATCTGTTTAATCAACAAATTTTACGTGTGGGAAAAACTAAATTATGTATTTAAAAATTGGACCAAAAAGTTCTCATGTCGTGATTGATGTCCTTGTGAAACGCCTCTGACTAGTGACTCACTCCATTCCATAGAATTCATTCCCTTTATAGTTTTGCGGTTTCCAGGATATATGAGCGAATTCTTATGAAGCCTTAATCATAATTACTCATCGTTTTTCTGGCCCTAGAGGCAACGAATTTCTCCCCACATAGATATACAAAAGAAAGGCGGACGATGCCCTTAGGGGCCTCAAGACGAATCCATTTTAGGCAACAAAAAATTTGGCCTCAAAACACTTCCTTTATCTTTCTAACGCATGCCACTCAAAATTTATTTACTTTGTTCAACTGGCAATCGTACTCAAGGTTTCCTAATTGCGTCCTATTTTACGGAAGTTTGTTTACAATCCATATTTCTAATAAATAATGATTACACGAGCCCTTAATGAGCCCGTGAAGTTGTGTTGATCAAATGAATATTTGATATTGTTTGTCCGACCTGGCCTGGATTGATCCAGGAAATTTGGAATTTATATTATTCACCCTCATTTTTTTATAGGAACATTGTTTGTTTTGATGTCGGATTTTTTTTACTGTAGGTACATTTTTTGATGAATGATTAGTAATAATTTTGTATACCTACCAAGGCTGCGAGAGCTCATTTCGCGGACGGTTGCACAAAAATAACTGTTTCTTTACCTAAATGATATTTTGCCGTTTTTCTTCACAATAGTGTGAGAGTTTAATTATTCTATTCCATCAAATGGAAGTCATGCACTGATAAATTATGTAGTGTAAAGGTATTCTTAAATGGTTCCTTGAATCTTGCGGAACTACTTGTATGGGAACTTAAAGAAATGACTCGAAAATTCAAATAACTTGCAACTTTGTGTTCAAGCGTCTCGTCTACCGTAACAATTCAACTTTGTTTGTTCTGAAAATGCTCTTTAGACAGAAATGTTGGCATTGCAATCGAAAATTATACCATGTTGCCAGCTTTTATAATGATTCTAGCACTGAAATACCTTCTACTAAATATTACATGCATTTCATTGCTGTACTAAATTAGAAATAGATTTATTTTCCTGCGAAAGGAATTTAAAAAAAAAATCGATTATTATAAAGTCCAGGCCATTGTTCTGACCCAAAACGATAACACTATAACATACACTAATCCCCTAGCATTGTGTACTATTATGTTCACAGTTAAAGCCTCCTGCGGACACCATTTCTCCTTTAAAATCCGCTCTAAATTGAAAAAGATAGCGATAGCATCGTAGTGGCTTTTAGCAGGAGATTCGGAATTATTATTAAAATAATATGTGCTTCATGTAAATTCCGTTTTCCCCACAAGGATGGCAACTTTTCGCTTGACACGAAACTAATCAAAAAACTTTTCCGGTGACTTTCGTGAGGAGAAGGAAAGAAAAACAAACAGCGAACTCGACGGCGGCGTCGAATTTAATTTATAGTAGTCGGAACTTTTTAGTGGTCCTTGACAGTTTCACGTTTTTGGCAATGTTAGGAATTTTTGTTGATATTTTGATTTTATGCAAAGTCAAATCAATCTAATTAAATTGTTGGCCTGGAACGAGACTATTTCGGGTTGACCAATGCACCTGCAGATCTTCAATCTAAAAAAAATGAGTTGTTTAAGTTTATTTGAACAGACATTTTAAACAAAATTAAAACTCGTATCGCAAATTCTTGTCAAGTAATAAATTTCCTTGGAAGTTCTCGGGATTAAGGGCTCTGTCGACGATTCGTGATAAATCGACTCTCGCCCCTATACGTGGTAATTCAGATTCAATAATTAGAAAGTGTCAAATCCTATTCAAAACACGAAAATGGAGAGCGCATAGAGCCAACGCTGCTGTGAAATTTTAATTGATGTCCTACTTACTAGTAGTAGTCTATCTTTAATTAAAATCGAAATCCTTACAGAGGGAGGGTTTGGATTATGTATATCTAATATGGGAGGTGAATTTAAATTTTGCTCTAATATTTTGTACTTAGAGGTGGATTTTGATACAGAACTCATTTTTTTCTTATTTGATTGGTTTTTTACTCTAGATTCTTGAAAGTTATATTCATTTTGCATACAATTCAAGCACGTTAAAAATAGATTTAAACTATAAAAAAAAAAAGAATCATAGACGACGGTACAAATATTATCATCAGATAAAGATGACCTTGATCAAAAGTTAATGGAATTTCTAAGATAAATGTCAACAAATAGTCTACATACTTATGAGTTTAAGTAAAAAACTAGATTTGATGATGCACTCAAAAAATAGCTAATCAAATTATAAATTGTAGCTTCCTCCCTGACTATAACTAACAATATTAGTCTGTACTAACATCTAAATAAAATAATCGTACAAGTACAAAGATCCTAATCAATCAATCAAGCCTATACAATCAATAATCAAACAAACGGCGGAAAAAAAGATAAAATTTCCATTAGATCATTGAAGTTTATAATTGCGTACTAAATTCAAATATTTAGTTATTTTGCGTGTCGACCTCAGAATGGCGACTCCAGTGTTTTGTGCGATTCTTTTGTTTTTGTCAACCGCTACAGATGGCGCCAAAATTCTGGGCATTTTCATGACGCCCAGCTACAGTCACCAAATAGTGTTCCAGCCCATCTGGAAGGAACTCTCTTTGAGAGGTCACGAGGTAACTGTTTACACGCCTTCGCCTTTGAACGATCCCAGCTTGACCAACCTGACCGAGTACGATTTGAGCTTCAGCTTCGAATATATGAAGCAATTGGAAAAGGCACAATACGACTTTAACAAATTCTTCAACATTTTCGAGCAAATATCCGAAGCTCAACTCAATCATCCTTACTTGAAAGACTTGCTCAAAAAAGCCAACAATCAAACTTTTGATTTACTTTTGGTAGAGTACTTGTGGTCGCCTTACTACGCTTTCAAGGAAATTTATAATGTTCCAATGGTAGGTATCACTAGTCTGCCACTTACAATTGCAAGCTCGGACCATTTGGGTATGGAAAGACATCCGGTGGTCGATCCAGATTTAGCGCTACAGTTTTCCAAAGCTGAAACATTCAAACAACGTGTCCACGCTTGGATTCACAGCTGGCTCTTTAGGCTTGTGGTCAACTACAAAATGGTGCCCAAATTGAAAAAGCAAATGAAAAAACACTTTGGAAAAGTCGATAAAACTACAGCCGAATTGGCCAAGGAAGTTAGTTTGGTTTTAGGAAATTATAATTTGGCTTTGCAAAATGTCAGACCGATCACTCCGAATTTTATTCCTATTAGTGCTATACACGTTCAGCCGCAGAAACCTTTACCAACAGTAAGTATAATGTTATGAGATTTTCTAGGTGGAATTACAGCATTTTCGTAGGACCTCTCAAAAATTATGTCCAATCTCAAAACAGACGCCATCTACTTCTCTTTGGGCTCCAACGTGCTATCGTCTCAAGTCCGCAATGACCAGCTAAGTAAAATCCTAAAAGTCTTGGGCAAATTACCATATGCCGTTCTCTGGAAATACGAAAAGGACAGCCTTCCTGATAACCTGCCGAAAAACTTCATCGTGCGCAAGTGGTTCCCGCAACAAGACTTATTAGGCCATCCAAAGATTAAACTTTTCATAACTCAAGGCGGACTTCAGTCATTAGATGAGGCCATAGCTAGAAAAGTTCCTATGTTATCCATACCGTTTTTATTGGATCAGAAGACAAATTCTGAGAAGATTGTTGGGTTAGGAATTGCCGAGACGATTGATTTTAATTTTTTTACTGAAGAGGAGTTGGACGAAAAGGTTCAGAAACTTTTACTTGATCCATCGTAAGTGTTTTTGGGATTTGGTGTTGATGATGTTTGATTTTTTTTTTTTTTTTGCAGCTACCAACAAAATATCAATAAACAGTCGAAAATCGTTTCTGATCAACCAATGAACTCTTTGGACCAGGCAATATTTTGGATCGAATACGTGCTACGTCACGATGGTGCGCACCATTTAAGATACTCAGCTGTTGATTTGCCTTTTTACCAGTACTACCTTTTAGACGTTTATGCTTTCGTACTATTTCTGGCGCTTTTTATGATTGCTATTTTCAGAAAAATCATTTTTGGTACCGTTTTAATTGGAAGTAGTTTTGTTTCTAAATATCGGAAGACGAAAGTTCAATAATGTTAATTGAGGGTATTGACGTCACAATAAGTCGGTTGGAGACATACAAAATCGGTTAATATTTTATTTATTTAATAAATTATTTGATGATTTTTTAGTTTTATATTGACGTTATATGAATATTTTGAAAATATATTTGGGCTAAAAGATAAGAAAACGTTTCTGAAATTGTATAGCTTTTGCATTGTAAGAGCTAGGAAAATCGTCCAGGGAATCAAGGCCCCTCAACTTTGATTCCTTGTCTATAAACTATGAGGAGTAAATCGCAAGGGAAATTTGATGTAGGAAATCCGAGAAAATCTTAAGACAATCAGGGAAAATCATGAGGAAGTCAAGGGAAATCTTAAGGAACTCAGGAGAAAATCATCAATGATGTCCCCTAAAACCGCAATCTGGTGAATAAAAGCTGACCTGCGCTCCACCCCTAGGAGTAAACTGGTCGATAAATTAGGACAAATTAAGAAAAATTCCGAGGAAATCTATAAGGCACTTATGGGAAATCAGAAGAAATCATGACGAAATCGAGGCAAATCAAGGAAAATCTTGAGGAACTCAGGGGAAATCCTATGGAACTAGGATGAAATTTCAATTAATTCAGTTAATCTCTGAATCTAACGTATGCGCAGTTTTCAAAATTCTTTATAATTTGAGGTTTTGTTGTCAGGGGAGCTCTTCGGCGATCTTACTGTTAATCAGAAGAAATCAGAGGAAATCATCCAGGATTTCCTTTAGAACCGCAATCTGGTGTACGAAAGGTGACCTGCGATTTACCCCTAGGAGTAAACTGCAAGGCTGGTGAACAAATAAGGGGAAATTAAGAGAAAATCCGAGGAAATCTAAGATAATTAGGGGAAATCATAAGGAAACAATGAGGAATTCAAGGGAAATCTCAAGAAAATCACGGAAAATCTAAACGAAATTAGCGGTTACCTCGAAGGATGAACCGCAAAACTGGTGTACAAATTAGGAGGAATCAAGAGGAAAGGACCCCGCACACCTCTTATGAGTATTTGGTTTTCTGTCAAATTCAATGAAATTTTGATATGTGCTAGACCTTGACTTCCTGATAAAAAGTTCTCATGGGCCCGAACCAATCCTATGATTCGTTTTCGAGATACAGGTAGTTTAAATGCTCAAGAAATGTACAGGGTGGCCCATTTTCGATGTTTTAATAGGCTATATCGAAAACTAGCAGAGATATCAAAAATCTGGGAGCACATTCTCGAGCTCTTTTTTTGAGAAAATAACAATGGCGAAGACAAATCACGGCTAACTTGATGCGTTTAGGAAATACAGGGCACTTTTCAAATTTTGTCCACTTTTAAAAGACTCTCTAATTTCCTTATTATTCAAGATATCCAAAAACGAAAAATACTTTCTAGAGGCAGTTTTTTAAGGAGAACCTAGTGGCATAGCCAATTTTTCTCCAGATGCCTCCGATTTTGGAATATTGATCAAAGTTGGGTTTTTTTAAATGGGACACCCCGTATATTATTTTTTCATTGAATAGCTCTTTGTGAACTGATTTCGATGATACAAGGTTTTATACCTTTACCTTCAATAGTTTTGGAGAAAAAAAATAAATTCCGTTTTTTCCATAAGAAACAATAAGTTAGAAAGAGATAGTTGAACTATGAATCGGCTACAAATTTCTTAATTCTTAATTTAATTTTTCATTTCAGCTAATTTTTTTAAATTTGAACTATGAATCGGGGGTGATAAATAGGCAACACATAATTTATTTAATGACTTATCTCTCTCTAGCTCATTGTTTCTTATGAAAAAACGGAATTAATTTTTTTTCTCCAAAACTATAGAAGGTTAAGGTATAAAACCTTATATCATTGAAATCAGCTCACAAAAAGCTATTCAATGAAAAAATAATATACGGGGTGTCCCATTTAAAAAAACACAACTTTGGTCAATATTCCAAAATCAGAGGCATCTGGAAAAAAATTGGCTATGCCACTAGAGTCTCCTTAAAAAACTGCCTATAGAAAGTATTTTTCGTTTCTGGATATCTTGAATAATGAAGAAATTAGAGAGTCTTTTAAAATTGGACAAAATTTGAAAAGTGCCCTGTATTTCCTAAATTCATCAAGTTAGCCGTGATTTGTCTTCGCCATTGTTATTTTCTCAAAAAAAGAGCTCGAGAATGTGCTCCCAGATTTTTGATATCTCTGCTAGTTTTCGATATAGCCTATTAAGACATCGAAAATGGGCCACCCTGTACAGTAAAAATCATTGCAATTGGCACACACTCTATAAACATTCCGCCAAAACTGTACAACTTTTGTATTTACACCTTTCTTCTACCTGTAAAGGTAAAGGCTGTAGGTGGTGTGTCAATACATAAAGAAACACCCTGTACAAATAAGTGGATTATTGCGGAACTTATGGGTGGACCTCTGCGGGACGAGCGCAGCGAGTTCCGCAGCCATCTATTTATCAATATGTTGTTTAATTACGATACTAACCTGACTCACTCAAATGTGAGATATTCTTATTAGTGTAAAAACTATACGTTTCAGGTGAGTGTCTTATTTGAACAGTTCAACAGTATATTGGTGAGTAGATGGCTGCGGAACTCGCTGCGCTCGTCCCGCAGAGGTCCACCCATAAGTTCCGCAATAATCCACTTATTTGTACAGGGTATTTCTTTATATATTGACCCACCACCTACAGCCTTTACCTTTACAGGTAGAAGAAAGGTGTAAATACAAAAGTTGTACAGTTTTGGCTGAATTTTTAGAAACCATGGTCAGAAACAAAATTAGAATGTCAGAAATGTGAAATTTTGCATGCTTCCAGGTTTTTTCAAATGGGATGCTCTATATTTCATTCTATATTCTTGAAGAGCACAATGCCCCGATCTATATTTGAATGAGCAATCTCTCATATATTCGGCACCAAAAATTGTAAAAATACTATCCTACTACTGATTTTGTGAACCTTTCTACCTGTATAGGTGAAAGCTGCAGGTAAAATTTGAGGAACTTGGTTTCTCTGATAGTATTTTTAAAATTTTTAGAACCAAATATGTTGGAGACCGCTCAACCAAATATAGACAAACTATATACCTAGTTTTGGAATTGGGAAATTGTGCTCTTCAAGATTATATAACCAAATATAGCGCATCCCATTTGAAAATGGCTGGAAGCATGCAATATTTCACATTTCTGACATTCAATTTTTTTTCTGACTATAGATTCTAAAAATTTAGCCGATACTGTACAACTTTTGTATTTACACCTTTCATCTACCAGTAAAGGTAAAGGCTGTAGGTGGAGTGTCAATATATAAAAAATCACCCTATTTCTTGGACTTTCAAGTACCTGTATCTCAAAAACTAATCATAGGATTGGTTCGGGCCCATGAGAATTTCTTATCAGAAAGTCAATGTCTTACACTTATCAACATTTCATTGAATTTAACAGAAAACCAAATACCCATAACAGGTGTGCGGAGTCCTTTGAGGAAATTTAATTCAATCAGGGGAAATCATAAGGAAATCAAGGAAAATATCAAGATGATTTCCTCTAAAACCATCGGCTTATTCCGAGGAGCAAAGCTGGTGTACAAATTAGATCAATAGAAAATTCGAGGAAACCATGAGGAAATCAAGGGAAATCTTGAGAAACTCAAGAGAAAATTTTAAGGGAATCAAGGAAAAACTGAAGGAAATCAGACAATTTTTAGATCTAACGCAGGCGCAGTTTTCAAAAATCATTTGATGATTATGTTGTAGAAATCAGGGGAAATAATGGAATTTCATCCATGATTTCCCCTAAAACCGCAGTCTGGTATACAAAAATTGACCTGCGATTCAATCTTTATTAACTAAACTAGGGTTTGAAATATTCTTGTATTGTTCCGTATATTTTGACAGCATACAATTAACTTATGAAGCAAGATAGAAAAACAAAATAAATACAAATTAAATAGGAATTCACGAGAATCACTAGAAAATATAACTTTACACTACTCAAAATTATTTATTCGGCTTTGATTTTTTTGGAACGTCCAAAGGCAACCCTTAAAATCAATTTCGCCAAAACATAAACACTAAAAATAAAACCGAAAATCACCGTAAACACAAAAGCGAAAACATCCAACATCAAATATTGCCACAAAGGGAGGTCCACCGCTATACTACGCAAATGTCTGGCGCCCTTGTGACGTATGACGTACTCTATCCACCATATCGCCTTTTCCAGACCGTCTTGGGGCTGGTCTTTCATTAATTCGTCCAATTTCCTGGCATTTTCCGCATAACTAAAATAATAATATTGATAAATATAAGTAATAAATTAGGCTATATAACCTACCTGGGATTATTGACAATTTCCAAAATATTATTCTTCAAAGTAACCTCGCTGAGGTCTTCTAGATCCATCATTTTGCCCATGCCATATTTGACGCAAGTGTCCACGTTGGTAGTTTGATCAGAATGGAACGGTATACCGATAATGGGCTTATGGGCTGCAATCGCTTCTTCTATCGATTGAAGACCTCCTTGAGTTATGAAAAGTTTGACGTTGGGGTGTGCTGGAATGAGAAAACAATAATCGAATTTATTTATTTTGGAAACTCTTAGCCCATATCGATGTGTATAACAAATACATCATAAAGAAACCTTTGTTGATTTCATGTTGCACCTTCAACAAAACATTATTTTACCTAAAATACTAATCTGTGGTATCCATTGACCAATAAAAACATTTTGAGGCTTGCCCTCCATATCAACCTCCTCCCATTTCCATATGACCTTGTAAGGAAGACTTTCGAAAACTTTTCGCAATAAAGCCACAATATCTTCATCCAAAAAAACTGACTTCATTGAAGACCCAAGACTGAAATAAATCACTCCTTCTTTTGATTCATCAAGGAACTTCTTCAAAGCCTAAATTTATGATGATGATTTATTTTCTCAAAATGACTTTAATCCTACTTACAGGCTCCATTGTTTCTATAATTAGTGCAGTTTTAATGCCGCCCAAATCAATCGTATTGGGCAGCAAAGGCATTATCCTATGAAACACTGGATTTCGATTCATCAATAGCAGACTTATATTTTTTTCAATATCTCCTATGTAAGGTAAGTCTTTTTGAAGATGTTTTTTTATATTTGCATCTTCCCTAGGCAAAACGACTAAATGATAATGCAGTCTAACATAAATTGAGTAGAGACCACTCAAAAGTCTTTCTTTGAATGGTAAGTTTTGGGCTCTTAGAGGTAAATTCATGTCAGGGGCCACTAAAGGATGTGAAGGGTTGCCTAAAGAATCTAAAGCCACTGTAGGAGCTCCTAATGAAGTAATGCCTACAATAGGAGCCTTGTAATAAGCTCCAAGAGCTGCTAGAGTAGGAAACAGCCATTCTACAATGACAACATCGAAATGTTTATGGTTTGTTGTAATTTGTTTCAAGGCTTCATGGTTTAAAGTTCTGTTGTACAACCCCGACCAAATTTTCGTGGCAAAAATGTCCTTCAAAAACGCTATTAAGAAAGTGGATTTTTGCAAAATAAATTTTTGATTTTGCACAGAGTGTCGTTTCAATAGCTCGTAATACTCGCTCAGATCGTATTCGGTTAAATTTTTGAGTTCAGGGTCGTTTAAAGGGTTCGGTGTTAACACATGTACCTCGTGGCCTCTCAACGATAATGCTTTCCATACTTCTCGAAAAGGCTTTTGATGGCTCGGCGCTGGGGTGCAGGTGAGAAACAATATTTTGGCCTGGTGAGTGAAAACTACTAGAGTCACTAATATTACTATAATTTTCAACATGCTGATGGATATTTTACTACCTTGAAACTGATGATGTTTGCGTTATGATGTTGCTTTGGCGATAAGTTTGAAGTGGATTTAGATAAATTTGTGTAATTTCTTTTCGAGATAAGATGGTGTATTTTGAAGTGATACAATAGATAAGTTCAGTGATTTTTGTGCCCGAAATCGCCTTAGATTTTGTTGTGAATAAGTTTACCTTCAACCAAAACTCTACAGATGAAATAAGGAAAATTTTGTGAAAATCTATGGAAGTAGGAGACAATTTATAAGAAGACTAGAGAGAGAGTGAGGAAGTCTTAGAAAAATATGAGGCTTTTTATCGAGGATTTGAAGAGGATTTGATTGGCCTCAATTCGAGCCTTATTACGTTGAGATCGGATCGAAATTAACGAAACTGTAATGCAAAATAGATGTTAAAGACATTTTGGAAAAAATCGATTTTGCTAAATGCGACATTGAGGGAAGCTTTATTTTTTTTCTAGGGAAATATTTGAGGCATTGGAATGAAATTTTGCAAATGGATAGGAAAGAGATTGAAATTTTTCCTTTTCCTTCAAATGAAGAGAATTCAAGAGCCTGTAATAGAGAAGATACGAAAATTGCCACCTAACAACCAATTTATTCTCAATTTTAATTTTTTAGCTTTTCTCAAACTATCTTACTCCATTTCGTGGATTATCCATCTAAACTCTCGTCTATTTTTGACTTTTTTTCAGATAAAGAGAATTCAAAAGCCTGTGATAGAGAAAATACTCCATTTCTCAAAATTTACATCGAAATTTTTCATTTTCATATGAATGTTAACTTCAAATAAAGAAAATTCAGGATCCTGTAATAAAGAAAATACGTAAATTCCTATTTAACAACCAATTTATTCTCAATAGGAATTCATGTTTTAGTTTTTCTTAAAATTCTCTTAATTTCTCAAATTTTTCATCTAAATTCTCGTCTATTTTTGCTTTTCAAATTTCTCTTTTCTCTCGACAAAGAGAATTCAAGACCCTGGAATAAAGAAAATCTCTACTCATATTTTCACTTATCAGCCAATTTCTCTCAAATTTTTCCTCAATTTCCTCTTCCCACCTGTCAATTTTTATCAAATATTTTCTCTCCTATTTTATCAGTTTCAATATTTGTCTATTCTCGGCTCTTGAATTCCTGTTTTTCAACTCAAGAAAATTAAATTTCTGTTTTCTTCAAATTGAGAGAATTTAAGAGCCGGTAATAGAGAAAATACGTAAATTTCTACATGACAAGCAATTTATTCTCAATTTTCTTTTTTTAGTTCTACTTAACCTTCCTTTCTCCATTTCTTAAATTTTCCATCTAAATTCTTGTCTATTTTTGACTTTCAAATTTCTGTTTTTCTTCAAATAATGAGATTTCAAAAGCCTGTTATAGAGAAACTACGTGAAATCCTACTTAACAACCAGTTTATCCTCAAAACACCAAAATAATTAGGATTTTTCCTCAATTTTTGTCTATTTCAGGCTCTTGGACTTTCACGGTCTTCTACATTTTCCAAACAAAACCAACTCAAGAGCCCAAAGGAATGTCAAAAATAGAATGTTTTTTTGCAAATGCTCTATTTTTCTAAAAAAAAATTCTTGTCAATTTTGTCTATTAAATAGGCTTTCCTTCTAAGGCCCGGTTTATTCTTCTCCAGATAAACTTGCTGGTAACTATCTGTAAGATAAAGGACCCCGCAATATTTAAACGGAAATTGATTACTCGTAATATTTGGATGAAATTTAAATATGTTATTGGGGATGCCGTAAGCAACATTTTTTACCATGAGCGCAATCTTGTATTGTATATGACAGGTGAGGCGGTATCAGCTGTCAAATATTGGAATCTAATATTCAAAAGCAAGGTAACTATGGCAGATTTTGATGAAGTAAATATCGATTTCTACGAAGTCGACCAAGGTAAATCGAAAAATGTCAACCTTTTTGACATCTGTCAAAATCCTGCCAAACGGCAGCACTCATATTTTCCAGTTTTCAATATTTCATGAAATGTCATGCGACATTTTCAACTTTTGTGAATTTTGGGTTCAAAAATTGAAAAAAAAATGACAGATTTGTCAAAACCTGTTATTTATTTTAGTAGCAAAAAATATTCATGTCTGGCTCTTTTTTGTTTTAAGGTATTTTATGGGTGATAAAACATTAAACAAAGCTCATAGACATCAAATTTTGACAGCTGTCAAAATCTGAAACCTGCGTATAAATTTTTTTCATGCTTTATCGTAAATAAGCATAACTTAAATAATTGGAACAGAACTAGATTCTGACAGATGTCAAAATTTGATGTCTATTAGCTTTGTTTAATGTTTTAGGTATCATCAATGATTTACCTGCTCAACAACCAGTTTATTCACAAAATTCTTTCTCAATTTTTGTCTATTCCAGGCTCTTGGTCTTTCACAGTCTTCTAAATTTTGCCCTTCAAATTAATTTTTTCTCTCGACAAAGAGAATTCAAGACCCTGGAATGAAGAAAATACCTACTTATATTTTCACTTATCAACCAATTACTCTGAAATTTTCCATCAATTTCCTCTTTACACCTCTCAATTTCCACCTCTGAATTTTTATCAAATATTCTCTCTCCCATTTTATCAGTTTCAATATTTGTCTATTCTCAGTTTTTGAATTCCTGTTTTCAAGAAAATTCATCTGCTTGGAATAGAGAAAATACTTACCAATCAATTTCTCTCAAGTTTTCTCTTTAAATTTTTCAATTTTTCACAAAGTTTCCCTGCCAATTTCTCAAATTTTCCATCTAAATTTTTGTATATTTTTTACTTTCAAAAGTCTGTTTTCTTCAAATGAAGAGAATTCAAGAGCCAGTAATAGAGAAAATACGTAAATTCCTACATGACAAGCAATTTATTCTCAATCTCCATTTCTTAGTTCTTCTTAAACTTCCTTTTTCCATTTCTAAAATTTTTCATCTGAATTCTCGTCTATTTTTGACTTTCAAATTCTGTTTTTTTCAAATAAAGAGATTTCAAGAGCCTGTTATAAAGAAACCTCGTGAATTCCTACTTAAAAACCAGTTCATTCTCAAAACACAAAATATTTAGGTTTTTTTTCTCAATTTTTTTGAGGCTCTTGCACTTTCACGGTCTTCTAAATTTTCCAAACAAAATCAGCTCAAGAGCCCAAAGGAATGTAGAAAACAGAAATTTTTCTGAAAAAGAAAAAATCTTGTTAATTTTGTCTATTGAATAGGCTTTCCTTCTAAGGCCCGGTTTATTCTTCTCCAGATAACTATCTGTAAGATAAATTTACGCGAGGGGTGAACGGTGAACCTCGTTGAAAAATGTGTACACCATCAGAATCCCACTTTTAACGGAATCCCACGAAATCCTACTGGAATCCCACGATATCCTACTCGAATCCCACTGAATCCTACTGAAATCCCTCGCAATCCTGCTGGAATTCCCACGGTATTCTACTCCCAGACAGCAGACAAAATCTTAAAGACGTACCTATTTTTTTGAATCTGCATTGCGTGTAAATGTCTGAAGACCAAAAAAAGGGGTCTATGTCAATTCGTCGTAAGTCAATTCGTCTTAAGTCAATTCGTCTTAAGTCAATTCGTCGTGAAGTCAATACGTCGTAAAGTCAATTCGTCGTATACGTCCATTCTTCGTACACTTCAATTCATCGTATACGTCTATTCGTCTTATCATTAATTCGTCGTATAGCTAATTCGTCGTATACGTCAATTCGTCGTATTTCAGGTATAATGTTAAAATTTACACTTTTTGGTTTAATTAGACTAATTTCCGTTGTTTGGTAATCCAAACCTACCGATAATAACTACGAATTACCTATTATATTGTGGTATACGTAAATTGTCATTTCGTCGTATTTCAGGTATAATGTTATAATGTTAAAACGTATAATATATCTGCACTTTTTCTGTTCAATCAGAGATCACTAAAATTACCGATAATAACCCGGTTAGTTTCGGTTAGTTTGAAATTTTAATCAAACCCAAACTAACCAGCTTATCATCTTATTATCGCTAAGTTTGATAATCAGGCCTATGATGTATCCTCACCTGTTATTCTAATAGTTGTATTATAGCTCAAAATCTATACCTGTCTCTATTTTTACGTGTAGAATAAACAGTGACAGATAACTTAACGTTGCTCTTAAAATAACAGAAAATGATACATCGTAGGCCTGATTGTCTGATTAAAATTGGGCGAGTTTGGTTAATCATCCGCGAGCAAAAAGATGACCGACAAGACGTGATCAGTTTTATTACTTCAAATAATGAAAGATCATGTGAGCTTCTGTCAACAGTGTCATCTTTAAACTCGCAAACTATTAACATATTAGCTACCACATGAGTCACCAGTGATGCATAAGATTGTTGTTTTCATGCCGACAGGGATGTTTGACCAGTGGCGCCACCAGGGTTCTATGTTAGGGGGGGGGCCAGACTGAACAGAAAAATGTAGGGGGAGCACTTGTTTTTGTTTTATTGCTTTTCTTTTTTGGAATAGAAAATGGGAAGTACCCGTCGACACTGATATGTCTGGGAGAATCCCAGAAAAGCGAAAACAGCATCGCGGTTGCCTGTGCCCAAGAACATTTAACCTAATAGGACTGCTTATTGAGCTGAAAATGTCTACCAGTTCATCTGCAAACCTCAACACTTGACGTAAAATGCATTAGCCGAGTTTTAAACAGAGTATAGGTCAAAAAAATTAATTCCTAAACGTTATAATCTTGTTAAAATCACCTTTTCTTTATTTAAAATCTATGAAAAAACAAGTATGTACAACCCTGGGCTGGGATCACGACAAGTAGAATTTCACTAGAATTCTACTTTCATGACGTCATGTTGACTAGCAACCGTCATCATCGCCTGTACTGTGCGCGATGAATAAGTCTCAGGTGACGTCATGAAAGTAGAATTTTACTTGTCGTGATCCCAGCCCTGAATTGCAAGCATCCCATCGAGGCCTGCGGGTGACTTCATCTCTATGAGCTGCTAATTAGTAGTGACGTCACT